TACACGTTTCAATTGACTCCAACTCCGTGATAAATGGAGATGGGCCTCTTGTAGATATAAATCGGTACATTCACTTGCCATCTTCTCGATGCTTTCAATATTCATGTCAATATTCCACATCCCGTGTAGTTATTCATTTACATGGAAATGAGCTGAAGTAAGTGTCATGACATTATGTGGATGAACGCCACAATCCCCCCGACTGCAGCAGGCCAAAGCCAAAGCTCAGACGCACTGGAAATATCACACACGTTCACAGACGCACTAGACATACAAAACACGACAGGTGCACTGTGGGCCGGCATGTGCCAGCTTTATTTATGAATACAATTTCATGCTAGCTATAAATAAACAAAGAGTTGAAAATTCTGTGTGCTGTTATTTTTTTTCCATATAGCACAAAAGGAGAGGCATTTTGAAGAATTGTTCTTTTTCATTTTTTTGACTATATATACAGTATGTAAAAAATATCCAAAGTCCATACGACTTGTGCACTATATTATGGAAGTCCATTTTCGCCACAGAATAAAAATTTAAAAAAGGTAATTGTGACTTTTTATCTAACAATTTGGACTTTGTTTCTCGCAATCCTGAGAAAAAAGTCACAATTGTGAGTTTATATCTTGCAATTCTGAGTTTAAATCTCGCAATTCTAAGTTTATATTCCGCAATTCTGCATTTATATCTTGGAATTCTGAGTTTATATCAGAAAATTCTGAGATATAAACACAGAATTGTGAGATTATAAATTGCATTATTGCAAAAACATGATTCCATACTATATGAAGCCATGTAATAAGTTAGTGTGAGGAATAGACTGAAATGTAAATGGTTATTGACTGATAATCTTCACATCTGCTGAATCAAAATTAAAAATTTTAATCACAATGGCGTCTTGCCACATTGAATATATTTCGGCCAAATGTGTTCTTCACACAAAGCTATTATATGGCTTCTTTCAACATTGAAAAAAAACCATCTCGATGCTTTTTCAGCATCTGACACCATGTGCGCAACATTTTTAAGGCACCATGTTAAAAATAGTTAGACCGCTCCACTCTATTCCACTGTGTCTATATGTTTTCTAACACAAGTGCGCATCCTTAAGACATGTGAATTGCAGGTAGGGCTGCACGATTAACCGAATGCGATTGTCATGCGCATTTTGATAGTAATGCCACAGAATAAGGCACGCAACATATTTCATAGTATTTAAGCCGTGATAAAGGCATTGCATTATAAATATACTTTACTTTAATGAAAATTATAATAATAAGAACTCAGATAAACCGTATATTGCCGTAGTCGTGTGTTTATTAGTCACGTTGTATCAATGAAAGCAGTTGAATCTTCTGTTTATTCAGCTGCACCTTCTGCGAGGCGTATTTGGAGTTTCAGTGCGAGAGCGCCCTCTGGCCTTTGGATGGAGATTTACTGCTGATCACAGAACCGTGCTTCACTGAAAGATACGCATAATAATCGCAGCTTCTGTCGAATCGCGATCTCGATTTCATTTCGATTTATCGTGCAGCCCTAATTGCAGGTGCTTTTTTTATTATTTCTGGAGCTTGACAGCAGTATTGTTTTTGTTAACTAATACTACAACTATTAAAAATAGTGTTTCTGTTCATTTAAATAAAGCTGAAATAAAAAGTAAAATATAAATACTAGATTAAAAACTAAAACTTGAAAAAACAAGCAAACAAAAAACTTAAATGAAAATGAAAAAAATGGTCAACTAACTGAAATAAAATAAGTTGAAGTACTAAAATTACCTCAATTAAAACTGAAATAAATTAAATCTAAAAAAATGACAAAAGCACAAAACAAAGTTACTAAAACATAATTTAAAATATTACTAAACACCATAATAGTACATATTATTAATAATACCAAAAGAACACTGCCTGACAGTTGTGGTCACTATAAAGAACTGTCATTATGTGTAAAAGAACTGCATGAAGATTCTTCAAACATTCATCCTTTGTGTTCCACTGAAAAAAATAACAGCATACAGATTGGGAACAACAGTAAATAATGACCGAATGTTATTTTTTCTGTGAACTACTCCTTTCATAATTACAGATGGGTTTGATATGATGGGCTTCAAGCAAATAATGACTTAATATGTTAGTCGTGAACAAAAGGTTCACAATGCTTTTGCTACACCATTTATGAAATGTCTTTTGAAACATGTGAGTCATTAGTGATAAGGTGCTGCAACATGTACGCTTTCATAAGACTTTAGTGATATTTCAAGGATTTGATCTGTTGTGGTCAGGCGTGGACTGTAGCTACAAGCTGTTTTATAACTCAGACCTAGATTTAGCCCAGAGGCAAGAGAAAGGATCAAAGAGAGAGAATAAGAGAGAGACACATGCACTGGGAATACAGAGGGCTTTGTTCCAAAACCTATGAGCCACCTTGCTCTCTACTAACTAAAGCAGCATACTAACTGAAATAGAACCTCAAAACTGACCAAGCTGGAGCGCTCTACAACCTAGAAAGCTAATTTCAAGACAGGACAGGCGTACACCTGACTAAAAGGCTGTTGCAATAGGAAGTTATTGGCCAAATTTGAACACGGTGTCCTAAACTCACGTGCATACATGCACACACAGTGCAACAGGACATCTGTCCGCCTCCACCTGTCTTCAACTAGGTCAGCCTGAAGCCAGCCATTGCATCTCATAGGTGTTTAATGAACAGCCTAAAATAACTGACACTCGCACACAAGACCCCTGCCCACAATGCACGAGTTACTACTAGCTGAAAGCTCTCAATAAAACATCCAGCTCTGCAGAGCTGTAATGTTGGACTGCGTTCAAAAGTGCATGCCACCGTTTTAAGTTCAAGCATGGGGAGCTGCCATCATACAGATCGGCATGAAAATCTGGACACCGGAACATCAGTGTGATGCTTTAAGCACTGTTTGCAATGTTCTTTTCCGTGCAAAACCCAAAGTCTCTATGATATTCTGGTTTTGTTTTGTTTTTTGTTTTATAAGCACTGCTATAGCACAAATAAAATAAAATTTAAGCTGACCCAGCTAACAAAAATATGTTTTTATTAAGTTATGAAAACAGTATTTCGGAATGTTCTCTGAACGTTCAAAAAACATCCTTTTTTAAATATTTTTTTCTTGGTTATATGAACGTTAAGGGAACGTGCAATCATTATGGGAATGTTGTTTTTGAATGTTCTCTGGACATTTTGAAACAAAAACAAAACGTTAAATGAACGTCCAACTAAAATACTTCAGGAATAAAACATTCTATTAACGTTTTTGTGTTAACGTTTTGAGAATGTTAGTAAAGACCGGATAACTTTATACAAACGTCAAATTAACAAATGAACGTTAGTTCAGAACTTTGAGAGAACCTTGCTAAAACATTATGAGAATGTTCCTTGTTAGCTGGGGAAGTACTAAAATTAATAAAACTAAAAATTAAATTAAAACTAAATTAAAAAAATAATAATAAAACGAACAGAAAAAACAAACAAAAAAACACTGAACATACAAAAAAATATAATTCAAAAAATTAGTAAATGCTAAAATAGCAATAGCACTCCTATTGCACACACTACATGAATTACGCATGTATTACATGTATTATTATGCATGTATTATTATATGCAATAATTACATTATTACGAATAACACTGACAAGGTTTCATACTACTTGTTTCCACTAACAAGTAGTCTAAATGAATAAATAAACTCCCACCCTCTCGCACAGCATATCTTGAGAGAGAAATATCTGCCCTCTACAATTTCACACACCATTTAGTGGCTGATGAATGGTGCATGAAATAAAACAACTGCCCACTTGCTGGGCACCACATGCGAGGAGCTGTTATTTCACAGATGCACGAAAACAACTTGCTGCCAGTCTGCATTGTTTGGACACAGTAGAGTCTGCGTACACTTGCTGCATGTAATGAATTCCTCACATGAACTTCTGGCTTTGGTCCCATGCCAGTCGTCTGGTGACCACAAAGGCGGAGATGCCACAACAAGGATTTTTTTTCACAGTATTTGCAGTATGGAAATCCTCTTTTGTCTTTGACACCGTAAAGCATCACATCACAATCGAATGGGTGGAATGTGGATCTAATTCTTTCTGGTTTACACAACATACTGAGCACAATTACACCATTTCCACTGTAAGTATGTATTTTAATATTGTCACATGCACAATAGAGGGTAATAAAGCACTACATACCTTGATTTCCAAGATGATGATGAAATGGGTGGAAACTGTCATCCTTCACAGGGTCCTACTTTCCAGGAGTCGTGGGAAAGGTAAAGGTGCATGCTTATATTTGAGGTATACAACTCAAAAGAGCTCACTATGATCCCACATTATACTGTATTATACCATACTATACTATTTTGCACTATAGCACAATATATTATCCTTCACAATATTATAGTGATTCTACACAATACATCATACTGTACTACACAATATATCACACTCAGAGAAGTCCATTACACTATTGCACATTACTGTACCACATTCTCATATCACATTACATATCTAAGCATTATTACATGAGAATGCAAGAAAGCAATATGTCAGTTTCGGAATCAGATGAACCTGTCAAATCGATCAGGTGCTGATGTTGCTCGGGCGCTCAGGTGAAATGATGCGTATCATTTATGATGAGGTTAATGCTCTTTTTGTCTGAACTTGCACCGGCGAAACATGTTGCCACAAACTCACATAACTGGAATAGGTTTCTCTGTTCAATGTCTGGCCGGTCTTGCTTGCAAAAACGCGCCGGTTTTGGTGACATTATGCAAAAATGGCACTGGATAAGACACACGAGCGCGTAACGGATGGCACGAAATGAGAAAAGACGCACCTTGACGCCGCACACCGCCACTAGTGACATACAGATCGCAGAAATCAAAGCGCACTTGAAAGTATACAGTGGCATCATTCATGAGTTTCAAAATCCACAAAGATAAAGGTCCAGAAGTGCAGACCAACCTGTAGCGTGAGCAGATTGCCGTCAGCTCCACGGAAACAGTGCGGACTACAAGCAGCTGATGCGCGGCATGAGTTCATAAGACAGCACGGGCGACACACTGATATTTATACACACCTCCAGACTCCTGCTTTACACTGTTTACAACGCCGGTGCGAAGCCGCGCCCACTGCGCGACGATTGGTCGGAAGAATCCGAAGGCACGCCTACTTGAATCTGATTGGCTCAACGGATCCCTATGCGGTTCAAGACCTCAATGTACAGTATCCAACTAAACACTGCACATGCTTCTGACTGTAAATGAGATGATTAATTATTAGGGAGTATGCAAAAGGTCATGGCCAAAAAATAAATAAACAATACACTGAAAACTGCACTTATGATTGCGTCCACAGTAACAGGTCATGATGAGACTTCAGTTCTATTCTGCTCACATTTCAGCAGATGCTTTTATTTTATTCAAAACAACAACAACAAAGGTGATTATATTCAATTTACTTGTGTTGATTTAGAAGATGCTTTTATTCAAAGTGACTTGCAAATGAGGAGCGCAATAGAAGCCATTCTAGTCACTGATGGAAAGATGTGCTGGTAGTTATTTGTGGAAAGCAGCACTGGTATCGAATCCTAATGATTATGAATTATGACCCGATAGAGAGGGAGAGAGATTTGACTCATACTGCATAACAGTTATCAGTTTTAATCCATAGAGGTCGCTATTATCATTGTTCCAAGAGACAGAAAACTTCATAAAGTGGCATCCTGTTGTGATTCATATTGACTTGAGAATTCAAACTGAATTTCCAAATAAACAGGTGCTCCTAAATGAGTCATGCAGCTGCATTTAGCTTTCTTCTCTACACACTGAAATCTGCTTTGAGAAGCATGCTGAACAAAATTATAATCACTTACTGAAAACAATGTAATGGGCATCATTTTTTTCAGAGGGGGTTTGATCTATTTAAAGGGGTCATATGATGCGATTTCAATTTTTCCTTTCTCTTTGGAGTGTTACAAGCTCTTGGTGCATAAAGAAGATCTGTAAAGTTGCAAAGACTAAAGTCTCAAATCCAAAGAGATATTCTTTATAAAAGTTAAGAGTCAACCACGCCTACCTAAAACGGCTCGTTCTAACACGCCCCCACATGTCTACGTCACAATGTGGGAAGATTTGCATAACGTCACCCAAATGTTCACGCAAAGAAAGAAGGCGTAACTTTTATTCTTGCTGTGGTATTGCTGCTGCCGCCGCCATGTCGTGAAGACGCTGTTTCGTTGTGAAAGCGAAACTACTTTGGTTGGCCTTCCAAAAAATGATGATATCCGCTTTGTCATGCCAGGAGCTGATCCGTGCTGGTCGCTGAGGAAATACATCAACTTTGCGCTGTGGATCGCCGGATCGGCTTTCACCGTGGACGAAGCAGAGTCCAGCCTGGGGTCGTCACATGTGGTTGCCGCAAGCCCTCCGGACGTTCCTTCGTCGAATCCGCCGGCCGCGCCGTTTTCAAGCCTGACCGCCTCCGCTCACTCAAGCCGGCCTCCGCATACTCTAG